TATACACTGCTGTTCAAAAGTTTGGGATCAGTAAGATTTGTAATGCTCATCATGGCTGCAGTTATTTGATCAGAAATACAGAAAAAACAGTAATATTGTGAAATATTATTACAATTTAAAATAATTGTTTTCTATTTTAATATATTTTAAAATATCATTTATTTCTGTGATTCAAAGCTGAATTTTCAGCATCGTTACTCCAGTCTTCGGTGTCAAATGATCCCTCAGAAATCATTCTAATATGCTGATTTAATATCAATATTGGAAACAGTTTTGCTGCTTCATATTTTTTGGAACCTGTGATATTTTTTTCAGGATTCTTTGATGAATAAAAAGTTTAAAAGAACAGCATTTATTCAAAATATAAACCTTTATAACAATATACACTACCGTTCAAAACTTGGGGTCAGTAATTTTTTTCTTTTTTTTTTTTTGTTGAAAGAAATGAATGCTTTTATTCAGCAAGGATGTGTTAAATTGATTAAAAAAAGTGATAAAGACTTACATTGTTAGAAAATATTTCAATTTGTTATTTTTCACTGGCTCTAGCCACTACTACTTGCATCTGCATATGACCAATCATTTTATCCTATTGTCCTGGCCACGCCCACTGACGTTTCGTTGCGTTACGCCTGCATAGTACATATGTTTGGGTTTCTGTACAGACTTCAGAAGGATTCCAGTATCGTGAAGGAATGGATGGTTTATTTTTAATTGCGCATGCTATCCCAGATCGCTTTGTATGTTTGTTCGGGGCATTTGACTGCAGATTGTTTTGTAAAGGAGGCACAGTGTAATGGAGAGTTCATACAAAGAAACATTTGTTGAAAGATGAAGCAGCCAACTCTGTTGAATCTGACAGCAGTTGCATGGCAAACCATAAGTAAACAATTTCATAATGATCTGTCTGTAAATTATGGTTTGGTATGGATAATGTTTTTGAAACACTTATTCACGTTGCGTTGATGGCTCATATTTACAATTATATAGATCAATGGATGAGACTTTTTTCCTATGCAGTGATGTTAGAGGCCCAGAATAAGGGTTGAAAGTAATAATGAGGGTTTGTTTTGTTAACATTAAAGTGAACAAGGAACATATTACAATAATTAAAAAAAGAGTCATGACAGTTTAAAAGATGCGATTCTCATCAACCAATCAACATTGCGAGAGAGAGGCAGACCATATTTGAATATTAAATGATAAAAGTAATTAAGTAATTAAATGATTGTCCTCCTCAATTAATTAGATTAATTAATCGCCACACTGTGTAATTAATTCAATTTAAAAATGTAAACGATTGACAGCCCTAGTAGAAATACTCCAAACTTGATATTCTTCGGTGACTTAATCAGCGACTGTCAACTTAGGGGATGACTGTGTTCAGCTTTTGTTAGAAAGAGACTCAACCCCTTCAATGTAGAGTAACAAATAATAACAAAGTCCCTGTTAAATAATAACTAAAATGATGATAACAAATAATAAAACTATTTAATAATATAAAAATAATCTAAAATAAAAAATAACAACATTAATAATTGAATATAGAAAAAAACTATAGCATTAAACATAACTTAAATGCTAGTAATGACAAATACTAATAAAAGCTATAATAATATAAAATCATAATAATAATAATAAGGATATGAAGAATAAGCAGCAAAACGATTACTACCAATGGAAGCAATAATAATATAGAATTAAACATAAAAATAACTAAAATGCTAACAAGTAGTAATTAAAAACTATATAATAATGTAAATATATCATAACAAAATAAAATGGATGATGACAATAATAATAATAATAACAATGATGATACAGAAAAGAAAAATATCAACAAAAAAAAAAACTTAAATGGTATATCTTATATTGTGATCTCACACAGCAGTATACAGTATTTTAGTCTAGAATTTAGTGCAACACACAGCAGTAGCGTCATCCTGCCAGTGAGTGGCGCTGTGACAAACATACTCCTCTCGCTCTCTCTGACACTCACATCCGCCGCAAACATGGCAGACGAGCTGGATGTTGTTGATATCGAGGGAGATGAATGTGATGAAAGAGTCGGGTAGGAGATCATTCACTCATTCCCCGCTGTTTGGGGAATATTGTAGACTTGTGCTTTGATACATTTGAATTCATGGATGAGCAGAAATGAGACCGGAGCGAAGGAAAAACGACTGACAGGATTAATATGAACTTCTCTAGTTATATGAACGCAGTTACACTATTTTAACGTCAGCTAGGAAACGAGTTTAATGCAACTGAAGCTTCAATTAACGTTACTTGCTATCAAGTACACACTATCGGCTCATTATATTTAGCATCAAATCATTAAAGCATGATCTGTTCAGCAGTAACTGTAATGTCACATCAATGTACTCAGGGTTTGAAATGTAACACCCGCCAAATGCGGGTAAAAATCAGCTGTGGCGGGTAACGCTGTCA